AATGTGAAAAGAACTTGAAAAAATAAGAAAGTCAGTGGTTAAGTAAACGTCAAAGAAATACACCTTAAAATAGTTCACTGTCATTTTTTAGATATATCAGAGACAAAAAGTTAAAAATGAGTTGAAGTGTGGGGTGTGCTGGACGTTGTGATGTTCAGGTGGTAGAGCTGGCATCACCCTGAGGAACATGGCTGGCATTGTGTGAAGAGCCTGGTGAACGATAGTCAGATGGTCCTGCCATTCTTAGTAACTGACCCTTCAGGAGACCATTGCTGTCATTTATAGCAAAAGTGGAAACAACCACAGTGTCCAGTGATAGGGGAACACTTAGGCCAGGCACAGTGCCAGGTAGGAAACTGACCCTCACGTGGTCCTCATGACAGCTCCTGAACAGGTGCTAGCAGTTATCTGTCCGGACTTGGAAATTGGAATTTAAACTGGAACATCCACAAGCTTTGAGTTGGGAAAGGGAAACATTTACTCTCACTTTAAAACACTAATAGATTTATTATGACTGTCATGTTTTTTTTAAATTATGTAACTTGTTTGAAAATTACTGGGCTGGATACAAAAGAGTGATTTTTCCATTTCATTTCTATATTTTCCAAGTGAACATTGTTTAAATGGAGAAAAGATAGACGCCTACCTTAATTTCAGTTGTATATTAAAAAAATACACAGGGGTTTTAGTTACCTGGAGATTCATTAATGGATGTGAACTGTTTAAGCCAGTAGTCGCCAACCGGTGGTCCGTGGACCACTGGTGGTCTGTGAGGTCCGGAAGGTTGGCGACCGCTGGTTTAGGCAACATAGTTCTCTATGTGGAAGGCATCTCAGTACAGGAACCCAAATCCACGTGAGGAGAAGCTTTGTCAGGTGGGAGCTTTTCCAGAGGAAAATCTGGGAGGATTCAGAGTGAGGAGCAGCATGCTCACATAGCCGCCCCGCTGGATGTGGCATGGCCCCTTCCTGCCAGCAGTGGGAGAACCTTCTGTCAGGACCCCACCTCTGAGGAAGGGGGTTAGACCTGACACCTCCTAAGGCAGGTTTGAACTCAGGATTATAGAGTTAAGTCCATACTGTCCAAAACCATGGTTCTTAGTGACAATAATGGGTTTCTTGAGTTTTGAAATATAAGTTTATTGTTAAAGTTCACTCATTCAACGAATATTTACTAGTACCTTGAATGTGTCAGATGTTTGGCTCCGAGGACACATCAGTAAAGACTACAGACGTGGTTCCTTGCCTCATGTGGCTTGGGATTCATCTGAAAAATCCTAATGTGATTTTAGCCTGACTGGCATGGCTCAGTGGTTGACATTGACCTATGAAGCAGGAGGTCACGGTTCAATTCTGGAGAGGGTGCATGCCTGGGTTGCGGGCTGATGCCCAGTGTGGGGAGTGCAGGAGGCAGCCAATCAATGATTCTCTCTCTTCCCTTCCTCTTTGAAATCAATGAGTATATTAAAAAAAATTCTTTCTCTGAATATTTATTTAGTTTAAAGTCTTAGATAGTCCCCAAACTGGGTATGTGCCCTGACCAGGAATCAAACTGGTAACCTTTTGGTGCCTGGGACAGTGCTCAACTAACTGAGCCACACCAGCCAGGACTTGCATTATTATTGTTGTACTAGAGCAGTGGTTCTCAACCTTCCTAATGCTTCGACCCTTTAATACAGTTCCTCATGTTGTGGTGACCCCAATTTCATTGTTACAAATTGGACATAATTAAAGCATAGTGATTAATCACAAAAACAATATGTAATTATGTATGTGTTTTCCTATGGTCTTAGGCGACCCCTGTGAAAGGGTTGTTCGACCACCAAAGGGGTCGCAATCCACAGGTTGAGAACCACTGTACGAGAGGCTTGATGCACGAAATTTGTGTAAGGGGCTTGGCCCCAGCCCCTGCCTGCCGCTGCCACAGCCGCCCACTGTGGCTTTGTCCAGAAGGAAGAACGTCCATCTAATTAGCATATTACCCTTTTATTATTATAGATTTGTTTGTATTACAACTATAAACCTGCTTTTGCCTACCCCTGTATTTATAAGGAGCCTTTAAAATGTCATGTTCTTTGTTCTAGAAATTCTATTTTAGGAATTTAGCCTTAGAAAATAATGAATGTATGCACAAATTTAAGGATTAGAATGTTCACAGGGGAATAATTGATATTAATTATTCCCTAAAAATTATTCCCTAAAAAATGAATTATTTATAGTCATGAAAAATCAAAGAAACAGAAGAAAGGTAAAGTAATGGCATAGACATTTGATGAATTAATTATTTAATACTAGAGGCCCAGTGCATGACATTTGTGCATGAGACGGGGGGTCCCTCAGCCCTGCCTGCGCCCTTTCACAGTCCGGGAGCCTTTGAGGGGGAAGTCCGACTGATGGCTTAGTGCTGCTTTGGAGGTGGGCCACTTGTACTTGCCGTCAGCCTGGCTTGTGGCTGAGAGGCGTTCCCCCTTTTGGAGTGCACTGACCACCAGGGGGCAGCTCCTGTGTTGAGCATCTTCCCCATGGTGGTCAGTGTGCATCATGACAAGTTGTTCCACTGTTCAGTCGATTTGCATATTACACTTTTATTATATAGGATAGCCATAAAAGTTGTGTTTTTATAAAGTATATAAGAGAATGCTTGTAATTAAAGCAATGTAGTAAATATTGTAGTATGATCACATTTTGTTAAAACAGTTTAAAATAAATATACCAGGAGCCTTGGCTGCATGACTCATTTGGAGGAAAAATGGGAAAGAACATACTAAAAATACTTTTGCAGTAATTAAGTTTTTGTTGGGATTGAAGGTGACTTTATTTTTAGTTCTTTGGGTTTTCTAAATCTTCTCTGATGAATGTGCATTTAAAGAAAACTTGTTATATACGATATTATTTAGAATAGTAGTTTGTTACTATTTACAAGAGTTCAAACCCAAGTACATGGGAAATGTATGGCTTGTTGGAAAGCAGTTGTTCAATGCATGTGATTAAGTATTAGTAAAAGTATACATTTGGAAAAGATCATATAGATTATTGCTAGATTAGCATGAATAATATGTCTGTGGATATTTTGTGAAGGTTCTTGTAACTTGCTATTCTAAAAAAATGTTAAAGGGAGTTGTAAATAGCCAATTATTTGCTCGGTATCCTGAGCTTGTTGAATTATTTTTCTGTGTTAACTCTACTGGGAAAATGTTGGAGAGCTTGAAAATTGTTCTGTTATATACAGATGATTGTTTTCATTTTTAATGTGCTTTTACAGAATTAAAAAAATTGATTTTTATTTTAGGTTTTCTTAAATATTCTTTACTTTTAGGTTAAAAATTTTGCTGTTATTTATCTTGTGGATATTACAGAAGTACCTGATTTCAACAAAATGTATGAGTTATACGATCCATGTACTGTCATGTTTTTCTTCAGGTACGTCCTCTTCTCTCAAACTTGTTATTTAAATTGTCCTCTTTATATTTTTATTGATTTCAGAGTGGAAGGGAGAAAGAAATAGAAACATCAGTCATGAGAGAGAATCATTGATTGGCTGCCTCCTGCACATTCCCCCCACTGGAGGTTGAGCCCACAGCCCCAGGCATGTGCCCTGACTGGGAATTGAACTAGTGACCTCTATGTTTCCCCAGGCATGTGCCCTGACTGGGAATTGAACCAGTGACCTCTAAATATCCATGCTGGCTTGGCTCCTTTTCTCTTAAAGTTGTTGTTTAAATTGAAATTGTTGGTCTGGATATTTAATGTAATCAAGATGCCTTTAGATTCTCTTACTTGGAAGGAAGTCATTATGTAGTCATTACATACAGATTGTATCACCAGGCAATTAATGTGATCTTTCAATAATTTTTAAACAATTCTACTTTTATCATTTACTCAGTGATAAATTACCCTTTTGAAGTAACTTTGCCCAGAAACCTAGATGAAGTGTAATTAAAGGGAAGACATTCTTATTAACTTTAAGGTACCTTTAAATAATCTGTTGATGAAAAATGTCTGTTTTAAAATAACTCTATGTCTATTTTAAAATATGATATCATGACACTATTTAATGTTCTTTGTGTTACCTAAGAGGAAAAACCTGTTCTTAATTTATTTGCTTATAAACACAAGATCATTTTATCAGCTAAAACATTCTGTGTGGACCCTAGTCAATGAGTTATTGGCATGAAGAATAGAATTTCCCTAATTGCCTCAGACAAATTTGTATCCACAATGTACGGGCTTTGCTTCAAAGGAAAATGCGGGAATGTACTGGCTGCATACCCAGGGGTCTGGTGCAGGTGCCACATATGTTTAATGGGATTTATGTAATCAAGTTAAGTAACATCATGAGTACAAAAATAACTGTTCTGGAAGGTTAATTAGGAAAGAAATAACCCTTTAATATTGCTATACTTGCCAAAATTTCATAGTTATTGTTACTACAAAAGTTGGTGGGTAGCAGTATTAATGTTCACTAAACAAGTAGAGCCCCTGTTGGTGAGGATGGTCCAGGTGGACTGTGTAGGGTGTGTATTAGCTTCATATTCTGTGGAACAAGTTAGCACAAGTTCTGTGGCAGAAAGCACCATTTGTGAGCTCAGGGTTCTGCAGGTCCTAGTCTGGGCAGGTTCTGCAGGTTTCCTTGGAGTCTCTCAAAGGCAGTCAGTCGGGGAAGAAGCCATATGGCTCACCTAGGTAGTTGGCTGAATCCCGTTTTGTGGTCGTGAATCTGAGACCTGTACTTGCTGACTGTGGCTAGGGCTCCATCTGCTTCTAGACAGGCAACTTAGTAGTGCATTCTGGACAGTGGAAACATGGGCGGCTCATATAGACATGGCAGCTGCCCTGCTGGTTGCCACATGTCAGAGTCAAGTCTGAGCCGAGTAACCAAAGCTGTAACAGTGGCAAACAGACATTTTTCATGGGGTCCCTTGTAGAGGCTTAAAAAAATTAGTGATTTTTAGAGAGAGAGAAAGGGGGAGAGATCAAGTGAGAAAAACACTGATTTGTTGTTTCACTTATTCATGCATGTGCACTGACTGGGTTACAAACTTGCAACCTTGGCATACTGGGACAACTCACTGAGCTACCCAACCAAGGCCCTTCTAGACCTCTGATAAGCCTTGCCTGTTTCTTCTGCAGGAACAAGCACATCATGATTGACCTGGGCACTGGCAACAACAACAAGATCAATTGGGCCATGGAGGACAAGCAGGAGATGATCGATATCATTGAGACCGTGTACCGGGGCGCCCGCAAAGGCCGTGGCCTGGTCGTGTCCCCGAAGGACTACTCTACGAAGTACCGATACTGAGTGCCTGGCCCCAGGCGCGGGGGTTTGCCCAGGGAGTCACTTTCACGTGGAGACGCTGTGGACTCTGAAGCCTTTGAGGAGGAGTCTGGGGAGGGACAGGAGGGCTGCACAGCCTCAAGCTGGCGTTGGCCTGGCTACTGTACTTTTATATTCGCAAATATCTGTAAATATCTAGCTGAACTAAACAAATACACAACCATGGGAAATCCTGATAGTTTATTTTTTTATATGGCTTACTGGTTTTGGAAGTAAAAACTTGATTCTTTACCATTGGAGTGAAGTTCAGGGAGTCTGTGGGCTGTTTTGTTTTTTGGGTTTTTTTTGTAATACGTTTTTTCAGAGATTTTCAGAGAGAGGAAGGGAGAGGGAGAGAGAAACATCAATGATGAGAGAGAGTCATTGATCAGCTGCCTCTTGCATGCCGATCTGGGGATTGAATCCACAACTCGGGCACATGCCCTGACTGGGAATCAAACCGTGACCTCCTGGTTCATGGGTTGGTGCTCAACCATTGAGCCACACTGGCCAGGCTGGGCTCCCCCCTTTTCC